ATCCTTGATTCTTGCAGTCTCAAAAAATTATTTACGAATAATTATTTAAAAATTATTTACGATACCCATAATCAATGCAATTATTGAATTATTTCTTATATAATTCCAAGAGCATTGATGATGGGTATTTGGCAATATAGGTACTTGAAACAGCTCTGTAATTAGCCAAAAATTCAATTTTTGGCGAAAAAATAAATCACTTTCTTTAATGTTATTAGTTGATTAATATAAAATTGTAATATCTGTAACATTATGAAAAATTTTAAATATCTGAATTTAACACCAATCTAATAATGCACATTATATATATACATATGTATTGTAGAGTTGTGTCTGTATCAGAAAAAATCTTTTCTGATCGGTATCTTGTATATAAATTTGTTTTTGGTATGTTATATCACAGAAGAATAATGTTATTTGTCTGAGGTTATATATTCAATATATTGCGATATGTATACCGAACTTGGTCACACTGCAGATGAAAACAATTGGGCGTCAGAACATATGAGTGCTTTTAATATGTGAAATTTTATCTCAATTGTAATTACCAATTACAATTGTAATTGTATGTTATCATTTACCTGAACTTATTATCTATATTATATTTGTAATAACAATATTTTGACGTGTGAGACAATAATGAATATCACATAAAAAATACTACAAGAAATTCATATTATGACTATATAGTACTTTATATAATTTGTAAGTTAGTATTATACTATATTAAATTTGTTTAAAAATTATGATATAGTGAAAAAAACGTCAGACACTATATAACGTACATGCATTTTTGCTGCTGCTAACAATTAAATTTAATTGTGCAATTATCGTTAATTGAGGTCTGCTAAATGCAAAGTGTAAACAAATATTAAATCGATATTATATGGTATAAGTGTTTGAAAAGAAAATTTAATAAGTTTTATTTGAATTTATTTAATTTAAGCCTGTATCAAATCAAATAATTTTTTTTATAAGATTAACGATATAATCACAGTTTATGATTATATCCATGTACATACATTATATGATGCATTAAATACCCTTTAAATATGTATATAGTATATAACATAGTATTTCTTTTGGTTACGGAAAGATCGTTGATTTTCCGTTTAATAAACATTTAAAATAGATTAGTTTATTAGTAATAATAATATACCTAAAAACTAAACCGATTGTAAAACAGTAACACTGTTTTATACTGTTTGAGTTTTAAGCATATCCATTAGGATGAAGTAATAAGTATCAGTTCCAGCTGATAAATAGGACTCAGACAAAGTCATTTTAAACTAAAAAGCTTAATGAATGACATAAAAATTAGCATAAAATTTAAAACATTAAAATTTATAAGAATCAGCTAAGCATGCATTAAATTCCAAACTAAAATAATTAAGTGAATAATTCGCCTAGCACAAAAACAAATTTGAATTCAAACAGATATCTTAACATAAATATACACATAAACGTGTAAACTATCTTCGCAAATAAAATATTGTTACACAGCATATACATATATATATATTGTTATATATAATAAGCCTTATACTAAGAGGCAAACATAATCAATAATTACTCGAAAATGACTAGAGTTCAATTAAATTACTTGTAGGAACGTTGAAAGCGTTGAAATCATACGAGTTTTAAAGAAGAATACAAATTTTTATTAGTATCTTATCTTAAATGTTTTTATAATGGACATAAAATACATCTTTCATTCAAAAACTTCAAATTTTATTTAATCAAAAGTATGCAATTTTGTGATTTACATCATATCAATGTTATAAACTTAGCTAATACTGATAACTAAATTTATCTGGAGATTTTTATAAATTTTCGATTTAAATATGCCTATTATCTATAAAAGCAAATTTTTCTTCTCCATTTGGTTAAACTAGATTCGTACACTTTTTGTCTGCCTAAATTAGCAACAATAAAATTTTCAATTTCTTGCTCTATATGCGTTCGCCACTTTAATTCCAAAAATAATGGAAATGTTTGGTTTTTAATTTTTTTCAAACGCCTTTCCGCTGTTTGGTAACACTTCCAAGGTTGAGGTTCTACAACAAACAATTCAGTCAGTTTGGATAAATTTTGCAGAAAATTTTTCAACCCAATATCATGATGATTTATATGTATCCACATTGTTACAGCAAAACAACAAACTTTAAAGAGAATAACATTTCTATAGAAAAAATATGTTTAAATAAAAGTTTTATAATTATGTTACTTGCATCAAATTTCTTTCGCTTGTGTGACTGTAAATACTCATTAATGTTGTGTTCTGCTGATTCTTCCATTACATCCAATGTTGAATACCTGACATATTGTGGATGCTTATTTTGCGTCACTGCCCGTTCGATAAGTGTACTATCCATATCAATACCTAGTATGTACACATTTCGTCCTGTGCAATTAGAAAGATATTGCCACAAAAGCTGCGTCAGCACACCTGAATTACAACCAACATCGAGTACCAAATAAGGTGAATTCTCGTGTTTTTCAGTGCAATTCGTCCAAACATTGTTTGGTAGCAACTTTAAACGTTCCTCTGCTGAATTGAATTCGTAATAATTTGTGAAATTTCCATGTCGTACAGCGCCACCTTCTCCATTGGTTATCATTTTGATTCATCTTCGTGCATAGATCAGTAACATTTTTGGCATTTCAAGTTTGTTTTATCAAAACAACATTTCGAAGCAAGAGTGTTTTTGGAAAATTCAGCTTTATAAGTGATATTGGAAATTAATCGTTCAAATATAAACAAATGAAAAGGTATTTTTATTTTAAAAAAGTAAATTTTTTATATTACATTCATACGTTTGAATTTCATGTAAAAAATTATTGGGGGTACTTATGTCGTACTCATACGTTACTTTTACTTATGATTTGTTTTGTATAATCCTTGCGGTATACATAATTTGTCTTTGTGTACTAATTTTGTTGAACGTTTACTGAACACCGAGTTTAGTCTGCAAGCATCTATTAATTTAATATGTTCTATTCACAGATTGCTTAGTGCTTATATATAACTGTTCATTAAATAAATGTAATAACTATAACTAGAATGAATATATTAATTAATAGAAAATACTAAAGATAATAATTTGGAATCAATATGATAGGGCAAACTTAATTTGCATATTGGATTAATTTTTAGTTCATTAGTAATGTTGGTAGTTGTTTATTTTTAAAAATAGGCAGTATATTTTAGGTTGCAGTCCAATTTGTCCATCCTTTCCTGATTTCAATTTTTTTATAATCAATAGATACTCGTTAAACTAAGGTCGTGTGCGAGTTAGGCTAAGTTGATGCTAAACCAAATGGGAGATTTTTTGGGATTTTTTGCACTGCACACATTTAGCCATTTATCAACATGTACCGACACATCACTACATTATCGGCTCATCTTAGAATTTCCCTCATTTAGAACGCAACTTAGCCTAACTCGCACACGTCCTTAGTTGCGTTCTAAGGGCATGTGCGAGTTAGGCTAAGTTGCGTTCTAAATGAGGGAAACTCTAAGTTGTGCCGATAATGTTGTGATGTGTTGATACGTGTTGATAAATGGCTAAATGTGTGCAGTGCAAAAATCCCAAAAAATTTCCCATTTGGTTTAGCAACAACTCAGCCTAACTCGCACACGTCCCTAATTTACCCTACTCGAAATACCAACTTCTCTGCCATACCGACATAATTTACTATTTCTTTCAATTTACCATCAATTTGCTCGAACTAGCACACGGCCTATATAAGTTAACAACGCAAACATTTAAGAGCTTTAGATTTGCCAGTAGTCAGCAAATAGTTAATTTTTTTAATAAATATTATTATGCTTATTTTAATATATTAATTGTAAAATATTAATAATAAAATATAATATGTAATCGATTTCTAGACACTACGGTCGTGTGCGAGTTAGGCTAAGTTGATGCTAAACCAAATGGGAGATTTTTTGTGATTTTTTGCACTGCACACATTTTGCCATTTATCAACACGTATCGACACATCAATACATTATCGACACAACTTAGAATTTCCCTCATTTAGAACGCAACTTAGCCTAACTCGCACACGACCTACGTCCTCATAAGATCATATATCTTTTTTTGCATTCTTATGCTGAAGTATGTGCTGTACTCAAAAAGCAGTTTATTAAAGCGCTTCATAGTGAGCTAAACTCAATTTGTATTTAATTTTTGTGTAAAGTCTTCATAGTAGACAAAAAAATTGAATAAAATGACAATTGTATAAAGGACAATTGTTAACTTATATAGGATAACTGATAATACCCAGCGGGACTTGAGGGAATCGATTCCCTCAGCGCTGAATGGTAATGCCTAGCGCTGATTATACAAAGGAAACTCCTAATTACTTTAACACGTGCATGTCATTGCGGGCAAGCGCTGAATCGTTCGATTACCTTTTCGTATTTGTAATGCAACATATCAGCGCTGACATGTTAGCTTACCTTTTCGAATTTGTAATGCAACATATCAGCGCTGATATGTTCGCTTAAATTTTCAATTTTACCTATGCTATTGATTTTTAAATAAAATACTAAAATTTTTTTTGGATGAATTATATTTTATATTTATGTTTTATAAAATCAAAATATTAATATTTACATAAAAATATATAATATATATATATATCATATTAACTTATTTACAGTTTAAATTATTTATATATAATTATTTACATGTTAATTAATTTAAATATTACCTCATTTATATATTAAATTGTTAACATATTTTCATATTAATTTATTTAAATATTAACTTATTAATATCACCATTAATATGTTCAGCTGTACTGCAGGAAGGTATTGTTTTCGTACCAAAATTTTGAAAATCATTTTCTATAAAAAAATAAAATATTTTAATAAATGCACGATTAAAATTCCCTGTTTCATTTATACCTTCTTTTTTAAACGATGAAAATTCCTCCTTTTTCTTTTTCACCAAACATTTATAATGTCTTACAGTATGCATCTATATAATACAAAACAAAAATTATAATTATCATTTTAAATATATTTACTTAATTTTGCATATACTTACAGTGAGTTTATGTTAAATTACAAATTATATTTTATTTATATTTTTGTTTTTTATTTGATTTTAAAAATTAAAAATTGTTCACTGCACGCACTTCACTAAAATCAAAAGCAGACTAAATGTATACAATGTAGGCAAAACAAGAAATTCTTAATACTCTCATATGCTTTTCTTCTTCATTCTTTTATAATTTCAACCCCGAAATTGCCTATGTCGAACACAAATGTCGAAAACAAAGAAAAATAAAAACGAAGAGCTATTACCTCCTCGCTTACTTTTTCAGCGCTGGCATAATGGTGCCGCTGGGTATGCGTATGAATGTATCGTAATGGATTTACCTCTAAGTTATATGTTATCGATAACAAATTGTATTTGTGTTGTGAAAATGTCATAACTAGTTTCGCTGCAAACAAACACGTGCATACCTGTGCACAATAATATTTGTTTATAAATATACGCAAACCTTATTATTTAACAATAGTTAATTTAATAAAATAAAATATTTAATAAATATGTCAAGTGATTCAGAAAATGATTCCATACAAGATGCGGAAATTGAAATGGACGAAGAAGATGATGAAGGTGAAGAAATTATTTCTGGAGACGAGGCTATGCAACGAAATTTGGATGAAAGCGATACCTCAAGTTCAGATGAAGATACAGAATTAGATGAACCAGAATTTGATGAAAGTTTGAGTGATAAAAACTCGAATAGTAAAGCAAAACAAACAAAGGAAGAACTAGCTGCCACAAAAATTTTGGATAAATATAGTGAACGCCAAGGTAAACAGCTTTTTATACTTTTTCCACAAAAACTACCATTGGACGAAAAAGAATTGCAAGAAAAAGGTCGTATGTTATCGCCATTAGTTATAAATGTACACAGACCGCGTCAAAAATATGCACGTTTTTGTTTAGTAGATTTTGAATCTAAAGATGATCGTGACAAGGCACTTAAGAATATAAATTCTGCAATTAAAAAAGACGCAAAATTTAAAGGAATTGTAGCAAAATTGCCACGTACTGAAGATGACAACTTTGTAAAGAATATGGTTGACCGTAAAATTAAATCAATTGAAAGTAAGAGAGCTAAAATACGCTTAAAACGTGCAAACAAACAGCCTAAAAACAAAATTTACACATCATCTATTATCATAACAAATCTGCCAAAGAGTTCATCTCTAATCGAAGTAAGAAAACTGTTTCCGAATGCTGTTGATATACAAGTCAAACCAAGTCGAGATAAAATGATTGATACTAGTATAGCAACAGTAACTTTAACTTCAACGCAAGAGGCCAGTGCAGCAATAAAGAAAAAATTAACATTATCTGGTAATAAGCTTAATTTACGCTTTCATAATCAAATCAAGAAAAAACCCGTCAACAAGAAGAATAAAAATGCGAAAAAAATGATACCAAAATTGCCCTTAAGCTGTTAAATTATGTATAGAAAATATATATTAAAAATAATGCGTTATTGTGTCTTTTTTATAATTTTCAATTGAGTAGTTTTCAGATATATTAAGCGGGGTGTCCTTATGTTTTTATGTTTTTTTTTTATTAATTCTTAAGTACTTATAAAGTAGTTGAACTTTTTCTGGCATGCTTACTGCCAAACAACTCCTAATGGAATTCACATTCATAACACCTAGGAGAAGGCGTATCCAGTAGAGGGGAATTATTGGATAGATACCTTCTTGATAATATAATCTACAAATAATAACACTGCCAAAAATATTTTCTAGTGATTTTCCACTCTTCACAATCTTGGCTACTCTACTACACCTAAGTTAATAGGCTGCAGTAAGGATATGTATACATCCTGACTTAACGTTTCAGAATCGAATAAAAGATAGCACTTTATTTCTTTATGTTATTTGGTATACCTTATCCATTCACTCCCTTTTTACTGTATCAGTTTAGGTTAAAACAGAGATTCCAAAAAATCTAATTGTATACAGATATAACATAATACATGTATATACTATATACTATATACTATATACTATATAAAGAATTAACTAAATAAAATTAGACTAACACTGTTAAGGAGGTTAGATGAAAAAGCTTCTGATATATGAGTTATTAAACAGTAAATTTAACTTCATGGTAGTATAGTACAATAGCCGTTAGTAAATCTACAATTAATTTGAGTTTTCTACAAAAGAGTTTTATGAGATAATCCGAAAAGTTATTGAAGCTTTATAGATAGGTAAAAGTGTGACGTGTTTCAGATACCAGTAGAGTTCTCTGGTATTCTTTTGGTTTAGTTCAAAAATAACTACAATAGTTACCAAACAAAAGCAATAATTTGATATTGTCATGGGTGAAAGCTGTATTGTCATGGGTGAAAGAACGTTTAACGAAATTCTAGCTACCTAAATGTTAAATAATATAAATATGATTTTATAAGAAATTGATCTAAATTCAGATAAATTAAAATTTTCTGGATAGCAATAATCTTATCTTTCCTCCTAACGCGTTTTGGCTATACCTTGAGTTTAGATCAATATTCAAAGTCTTGGTTAGATATAATATAATTGAAGCTTCCACGAGAACTGTTGAAAATCACTAGACAGGAACAATAGCACATGTACTTTAGAGATATGAATTAAAGTTATTACTATGAAACAGAATATGTGTATGTCCTATAGTACCTGCGTGCCGTTTTCGTTAATGTTAACAGGTACTTAATGTCGTTACTTATCGGTATGCCATAAGAAAGAAAAACTAAGTATATCATTGCACTTCCAGTGGAAACTCTCAATTTATAAAAAATACTGTCATAATCTTTAGGAATTTTGTATTTTAGACATTTCCAGACTATATCTAAGTAAAGGTAATATATCTTTTTACAAAGTTATTTAAGATATTAATAATTTTCGTTAACTTCATCTGTGGTGGATTGATGTGACTATCGTGGGCAGCAAACTGCGCATATATTGTAAAATTAATTCCACAATATAAATTGTGGGTTTCGACGCAACGTTCTGTAATGTTTGGCGTTGAGTATGATGACATCAAAATCAGAGGATAAAGACAAAGAAACCTACCCGGTACATACAAAGCAATAGTTCCTGCTATTGCGGCCTATGTTGCTCGAGTACGAACCCCACAACTCTGCGAGACGCAATTGACTAACATCCAAATATGGCTAAACACAGCACTGCAGATTGCAACCGGCAGCTTGTAAGCACAATCAACTGCTGTCTAAGCAATACATGACACATAGATGGACATCCCAATAACGACATGTCTAGCAAAGTCCTCCCTTCAAGATTTATTCCTTGATGCCTTACTGCTTATCATAACCATATCGACCCCTATTGCAATGGAGGCAATATCAGTGGCTCCTAACCCACGTATTCGTATTGTAAACCTTACATGTTATCTGCTTTCAGATGCCGGCGGGTTACAACAACAACAAAATATAGTATATTTAAAAATAAATCAAAAACTTGCATACAATAATATTTTTATGTATGTATTAGATTAAAGTCTTTTTAGTCTTCTTATCAAATTTCTATTCGACAATCCTATATAAGGTTTTAATAAAAGAAATCCTAACTGTTATGTTTATGTCGGAATTAAGCTATATAATAAATAATTGTCGCCATTATAAACCTTGGTCTCGCAGCTGGATATTTAGACTACGTTACGTTGTCAATACGATTAACTGTTCTACTATATATATCGCTATTCTGCTCTACTGAACTACGATCCTATTAATTTTGAAATAGTAATGTTATAGAACTACTATATATGGTTCATGGACAGAATTTATATTCTCATTGTCGGATACTATTTTCAAACACCTCTATTTTATGCACTTTTTTATCCGATTTCTTCAATTTACACTCCATATCCCAACCCATTTATTGAGCTGTTCAAGACATTTCGTGCTTTTGACAAGGTTACAATGTAAAAATAGATTGTAAAAATCAATTAAACTAATTTAAAATAACTTAAAATTAAGTCAAAATTTTTCAATCTTACTTAGTTCCATTCTTTAACTATATATTGAAATAATTTAACATGATAGAATTGTTTTATTAAGATTTTATTTGGAAACAATAAGGTATATTAAAATAAAAAAGGGTATATATGTATTCTTATATAATACTAATTTACTTTAAATTACATTTTTTTTTGTTTATAAGTAGATAGCATTATCGATATACATATAAGCAAATTTAGTAGATAATATTGAGATTATAATTCGAATACTTTATTATATGTTTATATATATTCTTAGTGTTCAGTTGACGTAAAAACTCATATAGAATAGGTGCATATATATATATATATATAGATATATATATAAATTTTATTTCTAAACTCTGTACAACAAATAAACTTTTAGTACGATATTTTTAATCGGACTAACTACTTAAATATATGCATATTTCATGAAAATAAAAATATATTAATAATAAAAAAAAAAAAGATTAAATATAAGCAAACTTACGTTATCGAGCTGTTGTTATAAAAGAGGAAAAAATCATTTTAAGATAACTTTTACATTCCTTACTTTTCAACAAATTTTACAAATATATTTATTTGTTATTATGAATCATAAAAATAAAATTTAAGAGTAAGCTTTTCGATAACGTTAAAAATAAAATTGGTATATTCAAGAATAAAAAATCACTTATATAAGAAATGTTTGAAGTTTTAAAAGTATTTGTATATAATTTTTTTTTTAAGTTTGAGTTTTTTTTTTATAAATGTTGTGTTGTTATTATTTTTCCCTTTTGCCCGCAAGCCTTTATTCAAAATATGTTTTCTTTATATACAGTCTCAAATTCCTTAGGTTAGTAATTATGTTCCAAAGCATTATTACATATATTAATATATATATTCAAAAATTGTAAGCAATGTATTAGTATAGTCGACGATTTATTCCAATTATTTGAAATTTCATTTGTATAAAACCTTTTTCAAAATCATCTAAGTCTCCAATATTGGTACTGATTTGCTTAAAGGCCAAGAAAAAACCGTTGAAGCTTACATTTATTACTATCGCATTTAAGAAAATATATATATGTATTTATTATAACAAATTAATTTTTTTTTTTTGATTAAATCTAAGAATTATTCAATTTTATTAGTTTTTAAGCAATTCTAATATGCTTTAATTTAATTTGTATTCGTATTTTATAAATTTGTATTGATTATGGTTTCTTATTTTTCTTAAAATAATTTCCAGAGCTTTTGAGAACGTATGCATAATAAAAAAAAGAATATTAAATTATTGATTTTACAGGTTATTTCCAACTAATAAAGTTTTTCTATTTTTATATATTTTTTTTTTAAATTTTTACTTTTTTAATTTACTTGCTTGCATTCATTTATATTTTGGATTACGTATGCAGCAGCCGTTGTCTTGCTGTTGGTGATGACTGTGTCGGCGGTGGTTGAGGTGGAGGTGAACGCAATGGAAATGACGGTTGCATAAAACGTATGCACTCGGCACCATTATCATTCACCCCCGACGTTTCACTAGCTGCTGCATTGAATGCCGAAGTAAAAGCATTGGCGGCTCAAAGGGTGTGGTAATTACGTTCGTTGTGTGCCTTATAAAATTTGTAGGCAACTAAACCAATGGCCAATAGACCTAAAGTCAAAACGATACCCCCGATAAATGAAGAGCTGTCAAAACGATGACATGGTGGTGGCTCTGGTGCTGTTGTTGTTGTATCAGGCTTTATTGTAGTAGTTGAGTTGGGTTTCACAGTAGAAGTGGTAGGATCAGGTTTAACTGTTGTAGTAGTTGGAATTGGAGTTGGTTTAACCGTAGTAGTTGTAGTTGTAGTAGTATCAGGTTTTATTGTAGTAGTGGGAATCGTAGTTGTATTATCAGGTTTAACAGTAGTATTGTCGGGTTTTACTGTAGAAGGGGTAATTGTAGGTTTGTCGGTTGTGGTAGTAGTAGGTGAAGTATCAGCTTCAGGCTTAACTGTAGTAGTTGGATCTGGTAATTTTGTTGTAACAGTGTTTGAAGCTGTAGGTGGTGCTGTTGTAACTGGTGGAACTGCATTTGTATCAGAATCCGGTTTAACAATTGCTGGTGGAGCCTCATCTTTTGTCGGAACTACTGGAACACTAGAACCATTGGTATTTGCCACAGCTGCATCTGTGTTTAGAAATAAAAAGTAGTTTTAATTATATGTGAATAAT